AAGATTCTGAAGATTCATGTCCTGGAATTTGTATTGATAAAGCCACTGGATGGCGAAACGTCTACAATAAAGATACCCAGATGTTGCACGTGTCTAAATTTTCACCACGTCAATACAGTGTAACCTCTACTTGCGAGTTTAATTCGTTCCATGACCTTGCTCACAACTGGATTTGCTTACTTGCAGAGTCAATTTTCCTCATTTAAATTAACTGAAATGCAATTAATCCGTTTCAGTGGAATTCTGTACTTCAATAATTTTGCTAATATCAACTCTACGGCTTATTTATCTATCTCACTTCATCTAATATGACATAATAAACAATATAAATAATATAAAAACCTGATATTTACTCTAAAATGAATAAAATATGTCATTCATGTAGTGGTATGGGCGGTGTCAGTGGTGGATGAGAGTTTGTCTCGAGACCGGGCAAAATACTTCATGAATAATTTAGCTAATATCATCTATACGGCTTATTTATCTATCACAATTCATCTATTATGACATAACAAACAATATAACATAGAAACATGATATATACTCTAGAATGAATAAAATATGTCGTTATGTAACAGGTGGAGGCGGCCACAACCGCTCCCTCTTTGTTGTGGTAAACACTGCCATCTAGTGACGGCCTTTTGAAGTCGTCTATTATAATTATTATATGTAGTACATTATTATATATGTATTATTATTATAAATATTATATTATTATTATTATTGTATTATATTATACTATTATTATTATACTATTATTATTATACTATTATTATTATACTATTATTATTATACTATTATTATTATACTATTATTATTATACTATTATTATTATACTATTATTATTATACTATTATTATTATACATATTATTATTATTATTATTATTATTATTATTATTATTATTATTATTATTATTATTATTATTATTATTATTATACAAATAATTTGTAATTTTTATTCACACAAAAAATATAAGATTTACTGTTATTCCTTATTGCAATAATTGTATAAATAATGTCAACCCATTCACGACTGCATGCTCTGAAACAGCCAAGCAATGGACCATTTCTCCTAGGTTGAGCTCTATTTCAAGGTACTATTTCTGTAATATATATTCCATTCTATCAAATGAGACTAAAAAAACGGGAATACAACCATAAAAATCATTCGAAATTACCACTAAGGGGCGGCTAATTGCCGAGAAGTGAGCTCCATTATTTATGTTTACATTTCTTTCATTTTTGGTGTACGTTAAGAAGCATCTTTCCATCATACATTGCCCAAGTTTCAATTTTTTTTTTTATTATCACACTGGCCGATTCCCACCAAGGCAGGGTGGCCCGAAAAAGAAAAACTTTCACCATCATTCACTCCATCACTGTCTTGCCAGAAGGGTGCTTTACACTACAGTTTTTAAACTGCAACATTAACACCCCTCCTTCAGAGTGCAGGCACTGTACTTCCCATCTCCAGGACTCAAGTCCGGCCTGCCGGTTTCCCTGAATCCCTTCATAAATGTTACTTTGCTCACACTCCAACAGCACGTCAAGTATTAAAAACCATTTGTCTCCATTCACTCCTATCAAACACGCTCACGCATGCCTGCTGGAAGTCCAAGCCCCTCGCACACAAAACCTCCTTTACCCCCTCCCTCCAACCCTTCCTAGGCCGACCCCTACCCCGCCTTCCTTCCACTACAGACTGATACACTCTTGAAGTCATTCTGTTTCGCTCCATTCTCTCTACATGTCCGAACCACCTCAACAACCCTTCCTCAGCCCTCTGGACAACAGTTTTGGTAATCCCGCACCTCCTCCTAACTTCCAAACTACGAATTCTCTGCATTATATTCACACCACACATTGCCCTCAGACATGACATCTCCACTGCCTCCAGCCTTCTCCTCGCTGCAACATTCATCACCCACGCTTCACACCCATATAAGAGCGTTGGTAAAACTATACTCTCATACATTCGCCAAGTTTCAAATGAGATACAATTCCTGAGATCAAGAGCAAGAGTCCCTCACCAGTGTCAAGGAACCTGCCTTGAGGTCTGCTCGCTTGTGGAAATTTTGCTCGCATATGGAAGCAAAAAATCGACCCATCGACTGCTCGTATTTGGAAAAACTCGCACATGGACACGCTTGCAAGTAGAGGTTCCACTGTATTGTATACCATTCATGTACGGCTTATATACTGTGGACAGGTGAGGTGAAGCAGTCATAGGTGATATCACAGTGGACAAATCCACATGTGGAAATAGGTTATGACTATAGGTTAGTCAAGCGTAGAATTCCCCGTATCAAGATCCCAAGATGTTGCTGTGTCTGACAGCAGTGTCTGACACTGCTGTCAGACACATGGCTACAACAATACACAACAACATGGTTGCAACAATATACAACAAAGCTACAACAATACACAACATAGCTGCAACAATACACAATATAGCTGCAATACTGCACCTCTTGCAAGAGTTAAGCTTCACGTCAACTGTTATACTAACACGGCAGCAACACACTGCTTGAGAAAACCATTTTAATCATAATACAGTCTCCCTCACTTTGCGTGAACTGGCTTTATGCCATGTTCTATTTCAGTGTATGAGATATACATTCTCTGTGTATGATTGGTGAGATACACAAAACACACTGACAATACTTACATTGTTAAGAACATAAGAAAGAAGGAACACTGCAACAGGCCTACTGACCCATGCGAAGCAGGTCCATGCTCTCCCCCCCCCACGATTATCCCAATGACCCACCTAGTCAGGTCACTTCCAGTTAAGGAAGAAGCAAGGCATCAGACCTAGTAGCACAAGCTAGTCAGGCCCAACTCACACCCACCCACACCCACTCATATATTTATCTAACCTATTTTTAAAACTACACAATGTTTTAGCCTCAATAACTGTACTCGGGAGTTTGTTCCACTCATCCACAACTCTATTACCAAACCAGTGCTTTCCTATATCCTTCCTGAATCTGAATTTTTCCAACTTGAAACCATTGCTGCGAGTCCTGTCTTGGCTGGAAATTTTCAGCACGCTATTTACATCCCCTTTATTTATTCCTGTTTTCCATTTATACACCTCAATCATATCCTCCCTAATTCTACGCCTTTCGAGAGAGTGCAGCTTCAGGGCCTCAGTCTATCCTCATAGGGAAGATTTCTGAGACATGGGATCAACTTTGTCATCCTCCTCTGTACGTTTTCCAGTGCATTTATATCCATTCTGTAATACGGTGACCAGAACTGAGCAGCATAGTCTAAATGAAGCCTAACCAAGGATATATAGAGTTGAAGAACAACCTGAGGACTTCTATTATTTATACTTCTAGATATGAAGCCAAGAATTCTGTTAGCTTTATTGTGAACACTAATGCACTGTTGTCTTGGTTTCAGATTACTGCTAACCAGAACTCCTAAATCCTTTTCGCAATCAGTAGTATTAAGATCTACATTATTTAGTTTATATGTGGCATGGTTATTTTCCTGTTCAACATTTAGAACTTAGCATTTGTCAATATTAAACTGCATCTGCTACTTCTCCGACCATTACATCAGTCTATTCAAATCATCCTGGAGTGCTCTAGTGTCCTTATTAGAATGAATTGGCCAGCCTATTTTGGTGTCATCAGTAAATTTGCTTATGTCGCTATTTATTCCCTCATCTATGTCATTTATATAAATTGTGAGCAGCAATGGGCCCAACACTGACCCCTGAAGAACACCGCTTGTGACGTGCCCCCATTCTGATTTCTCCCCATTTATGCAAACTCTCTGCTGCCTATTTGTCAACCATGCCTCTACCCAGGAAAAAATTTCTCCTCCTATTCCACGTGCCTTAAGTTTCCTCAATAGTCTTTGATGTGGAACTCTATCAAAAGCCTTACTTATTGTCAGTGTGTTTTGTATTGTTGTGAATGATTCGTAAGGTTTGTACAGCACATTAAAAATACTTATTACTGTATTCCAGGGATCCCCAACCTGCAGCCCATGGGCCACACATGGCCCTTCTAGGAAATGGATGCAGCCCTCACATGAAATTATTATTCACTTTTATGTAGATTTTACAGTGTCAAGAATTACAAATTGTTATTAGTCATAAAAATTACAAAATGTGGCCTGCCTTTAAATTCAGCTTTTCAAATTAGCCTTTTAATACTAAAAGGTCAGGAACTACTGATGTATGTGATTAGTAAAGGTCATATAGCACGTTTAAAATAATAATAACCTAATTAAGGCTAATACAGTGGACCCCCGCTTAACGATCACCTCCCAATGCGACCAATTATGTAAGTGCGTTCGTACGTGTATGTTTGGGGGTCTGAAATGGACTAATCTACTTCACAATATTCCTTATGGGAACAAATTCGGGCAGTACTGGCACCTGAACATACTTCTGGAATGAAAAAATATTGTAAACCGGGGGTCCACTGTACGTGTCTCCAGCACCTACAATGCTTCTACAAGCATACAACAAGAAGGTCACCAGTACAGCCTCCCCTCATTTAATGACAGAGTTCCATTCCTAAGACCACGTCGGTAAATGAAATCATCACTAAGTGAGGAACATACTATAATAGTAGTGGGTTTGTGTCAATCATCTCTGATATTGTTTTAATGTCATCTTTGCACTATTTATAACATTCTGGTATATTTTTAAATGTTTATACAGCAGTGTACTATATATTGTAATAAACAGAATAGAGGAAATCAGCTCTAATATACATTATTTAGGCATGCATACTGGTCAGAGAGCCTGTCGTGCGTCCGAGGCGTTGGTAACGAGTACGTCGCTAAGTGAGGAGAGGCTGTATTGTATAAGCTGCATTTAACCCTTAAACTGTCCAAACATAGATCTACGTTCAATTTTGCATGCTTTCTTATGTAAAAAACATTGATCTACATTCGGAGCGTTACGTGAGTGAACATAGATCTACGTTTCGACAGTTTAAGGGTTAACATGAGATAGAGAGAGATCCCTTACACATTATCAGCATTGAATGAGGATGTTAGGGGTAGTCTCTGAGCAGCGATCCCCGTTGACTGTATGATCATTCTGTCTTGAGAGTGAACATCCGTCTGGCCCTCCACCCGCATCACCTGGAACATAAACCTCTCTTAGTTACCTCTTAGTGGGGATACCTTCAACCTGGTCTGGTCTCAGACCAGGCATCTTTGGTTAGTGTTCTGGGTATACCTTCCCCTAGGTCTGGTTTCAGACCAGGCATCTTTGGTTAGCGTTCTGGGGATACCTTCCCCAAGGTCTGATCTCAGATCAGGCATCTTTGGTTAGTGTTCTGGGGATACCTTTGCCAAGGTCTGGTCTCAGACCAGACCTCCTAGGTTGGAAAGGAAATATTATAGATTTAAGAACAATTAAGAAGCACATAGGTACAGTGGAACCTCAAATTTCGAACGTATCGCTTATTGAACTCTTCGAAAATCGACCGCTTTTTTCAAACCAACTTTGTCCCCATTATCAAACTTGCCCTTATTTTCGAACTGCCGGGTACCGCACCTGTCCGTCAGCCTGCTCTGTCCGCATCCCCGTGCAGGCGCTGTGAGCCAATCTGGCTTTGTTATGCTTGAGTGAACACTAACCTGCGCTCTCATTCACACATTTTACGATTATTTCGTTGTGTTTAGTGCTTGTGGGACTGTGAAATAAGCTGCCATGGGGCCAAAGAAACTTGCTAGTGGTACCCCTGTGGTAAAGAAAGTGAGAAACACCATAGATGTGAAGAAGGAAATAATACAGAAGTATGAGAGTGGTGTGAGACTTGTTGAGCTTGCCAGGATGTATGGGAAAAAGAAGTCGACCATCGGTTCTATCCTGGCAAAGAAAGAACAAATCAAGGAAGCTGATTTCCCCATTTTAGGGAAATCTTAAAGAGGCACCAGAAACAGAGGACTGTTGACAGTTATTTTGTGAGACAGGGGTCCAGTGACTCAAGTTGGTCCTAGTGGCATTAAAAGACAGAGAAGGAAAGTAACCCCAGAGAGGGCTTTACCTGAAGTCCTCATGGAGGGGGATTCTCCTTCCAAACACTAACCCCAACTCCCTCTCTCCTCCTCCCTATCTTCCAGATGCCATCACTAATCTTCTATGTTTATTTACATTTATTAATACATAATTGTACACTATATTTGTTGTGTGTTTGTAAAACTGTAATTAATCTCCAAAAAAATTTATTTTTTTGGTGAATATTTTTGGGTTTCTGGAACGGATTAATTGTATTTCCATTATTTCTTATGGGAAATATTGCTTCGCTTTTCAAACTTTTTGAATTTAGAACTAACTTCTGGAGCGGATTAAGTTAGAAATTTGAGGTTCCACTGTATGTAGATATTTCTAAGAATGATCTGTCATCTTACATGTTCACGAAACAGAAAGAAGAGATTAGCAATCCTGCCAGAGTGCAAAACATTTAACAAGCTTCCATGTCACTGATATTTAGCAGGAGGGTGGTACCTCCCTAAATTACTTTACTGTACCACTCTCAATTATATTATGGACTGTTGATAAATGGTTCAGAGAACTGACAAGTTGAGAAATTAAGACACGTGCAACACTTAGGTATGGATTGGTACCTCGGGATATGAACGGCTCAAAACGCGAACAATTATTTAAGTGTGATTATGTAAGTGCTTTTGTAAGTGTATTTTTAGGGGTCTGAAATGGATTAATCTAATTTATTCCTTATGGGAACAAATTCATTCAGTATCAGCACTCGAGCAGCCTTCTGGAACGAATTAAGTTCATATCCTGAGGTACCACTGTAGTTGGTATCTCTATAACATAGCTGAACCACTTGCCAAGAAACTTCATCACTATCCCACATAAGAACACAGGAATGGAAGAACACTGTAGAAGGCCTGCTCACAAACTTATCCAATCTCCCTTCCAAGCTACCCAAGATTTTAGACTATAACCCCACTCGGTACATCATCAGATGCAGCATTCTCCACCTGACCTCAGCATTCTGAACCTGACTATAAATACTCGTGTACCTTCCGCCCCAGGTAGATCTGTTTGTGACTTGAAAAAGCCCACTATGTGGGCGAAACGTTGTCAATAAAGGATCACATTATACTGCATATGTGTTTATATTTCCAGTTGGTATGTCACAATATCCTAGGTAGTAGGTTGGTAGACAGCAACAGCCCAGGGAGGTACTACCGTCCTGCCAAGTGAGTGTAAAATGAAAGTCTGTAATTGTTTTACATGATGGTAGGATTGCTGGTGTCCATTTTTCTGTCTCACAAACACGCAAGGTTTCAGGTACGTCTTGCTACTTCTACTTACACTTAGGTCACACTACACATACATGTACAAGCATATAATGTATATACACACCCCGCTGGGTTTTCTTCTATTTTCTTAGTAGTTCTTGTTCTCGTTTATTTCCTCTTACCTCCATGGGGAAGTGGAACAGAATTCTTCCTCCGTAAGCCATGCGTGTTGTAAGAGGCGACTAAAATGCCAGGAGAAACTTTCGTTTTTCCTTTTGGGCCACCCCGCCTCAGTGGGATACGGCCGGTGTGTTAAAAGAAAATAAAAAAAGATCTCACAATATTAATATCTCTGATACTGATATTGTGAGATACCAATGAGCTGATGACCTAAGATGTGTGGAACATATGGGTATCTTTACTTGTGAAATCGCAATGACCAAATAAGAACATTTACCTGTGATGTACCTGTTATGAGTTTCAAGTCTTTCTACTCCTGGAGCCTGACCATGGGCCAGGCTCATCCAGTGATAGCCTGGTCAATCAGGAGGAACACTACAGCAGGCCTATACTAGGCAGGGTCTTCTCAAACCCAAACCCACTAACAATAATATTCACCCAACCCATTATCAATGCTACCCAAGGAATGTGCAAGTCCCACTCAAATCCAACCCCTCTAGTTCAAACTATGGAACGGGTAGGGTTTGAACCATAGCCAGTGAGTGCTACAACTCACAGGCCAGTGTGTCAACCACTGGGGCAGATGGCTACAATAAGATTCATACAACTAGGTATATTTCTATACACCATAGCTAGGTTAGCATGGGCCACCACTGTGACCACAAACACAAGTTTTTACAGATGAATTCTACAAAAGCATGGTCATGTCATGCTCTAGCTCAAGCCCCCTCAAAGCTGCCATCGTGACTCAAAAAATTATAATAATATGATTGTAATGACTATATATTTTGCCTGTGGAAAAACTGATTACATTAGTACCGTGGTACTTCAACTCAATTCATTCCACAAGGCTGTTCAAATGCCGATCTGTTCAAGTACCGAACGAATTTTTCCCACAAGGAATAATTAATAATAATTTTTCATCTCTAATGTGACTAACCAACTTTCTTTTTGGTTGCTTGTTGTCACTAATCTTCTTAGGCCCCATGGTGACTTATTTATACATAAAAAAAACACCAAAAAATGCGAAGAAACGTGAAACAGTTTACAGCAAAGTTCAGTGGAGTTTTGCACTGAGCGACAGCTGTGGGGAGACTGACGCACATTGTTTGGTCAAGTGCCGAGCAAACGGTCGACTACTGAGCGATTTTTTTTACTGAACAATGAGTTCGAATACTAAATTGTTTGAGTTTGTTCACGTTGGGAGCTGCTTGAGTACCAAAGTACTACAGGTCCGTATCCCTTTATCTGAAACCCTTTGGGCCAGCAGTGCTTTGAATTTCAGAATGAAGGTGGGGTCTAGGGCAGGACACAATAATCAAACATTAACATTGCAGCAAAAAACGTATGAATACTCACACTCAGTGGGATAAACAAACACTACAAATACTACTACAGTTTATTTATAGAGTAATATATGTATTGATAAATGAAATAATGGGATAATTATAGACCAGGAACATGTCTGCTGTTCTCAGTGAACAGCAGATGCAAGTGTGAACACTACAAACGCTGAGACACAACTGATGCCGCTCTAGCTGTCAGTGCCGCCATGTGGCGGCATTGGAGTTATGCAGAGATGACTGATGCTCCACACATAAGAACATAGGAAAGAAGGAACACTGCAGCAGGCCTACTGGCCAATGGAAGGTCCAATTCTCCCACTGGCTTAAGCCAATGACCCAACCTAGTCAGGTCAGGTTACATTCACTTAAGAACATAAGAAAGGAAGAACACTGCAGTAGGCATGTTGGCCCATACTAGGCAGGTCCTTCACAATCCATCCCACTAACAGAATATTTGCCCAACCCAATTTTCAGTGCAACCCAAGCAATAAGCTTTGATAATTCTATTTACTCATGTGCAAGTCCCACTCAAATCCAACCCCTCTCACTCGTGTTTATCCAACCTAACATGTTCATTCATGCAAGGAAGGAGCACAGCATCTGACCTAGTAGCATAAGCTAGTCAGGTCTAGGCTAGACTAAATATTTTTAGCAACCAATTTACATCCCCTTTATTAATTCCTGTTTTCCATTTATGCACCTCCACAAAAAAACTTCGGTTTTCGGAACTTTTTGAATTTCAGAATTTCGGATAAAAGGATACGGACCTGTACTGTACTAGGAAATATAACAATGAACACAAGAGTAATTGTAGTTTTGAGGGACTGACTACCTCCCACCAAGACTCAGGGACTGACTACCTCCCACCAAGACTTAGGGACTGACTACCTCCCACCAAGACTCAGGGACTGACTACCTCCCACCAAGACTCAGGGGCTGACTACCTCCCACCAAGACTCAGGGACTAACTACCTCCCACCAAGACTCAGGGACTAACTACCTCCCACCAAGACTCAGGGACTGACTACCTCCCACCAAGACTTAGGGACTGACTACCTCCTACCAAGACTCAGGGACTGACTACCTCCCACCAAGACTCAGGGACTGACTACCTCCTACCAAGACTCAGGGACTGACTACCTCCTACCAAGACTCAGGGACTGACTACCTCCCACCAAGACTCAGGGACTGACTACCTCCTACCAAGACTCAGGGACTGACTACCTCCCACCAAGACTCAGGGACTGACTACCTCCCACCAAGACTCAGGGACTTACTACCTCCTACTAAGATTCAGGGACTGACTACCTCCTACCAAGACTCAGGGACTGACTACCTCCC